TGATCTATTCTACAGCCTTCTTTGGGTGTACTCTCAGCAAGGAAACATTAAAGCAAATTGATATATAAAATAAATACAAAACTTTGCAACAAGACATAGTCAACTCAAAAATGCCAGCTTGTCTACACAGATCTATACCAAGCAAGTACAAAGAGGCAAGTGAAGCCACTAGAAATCAAAAGACTCACTAATAGCTGAAACTACAATGGTAGTTTCTCTAATACTAATTCTCTAATAATAGAATGATGAACAATGCAACTTTCACTGTATGTTTCTTTTTTCTCTGTCTATAACTCCAGTCACCTTAATGCAAACAGATATATAAAATTAGCAAATGAATCTTACACTTTCATCATCATTATATAAAATGATGAACAAGGCGACTTTCCCTGTATGTTTCTTTTTTCTCTGTCTACAAATCCTCTCACATTACTGTAAACAGATATATAAAATTAACAAGTGAATCCTAGTCTTTAATCATCATTATATAGAATAATGAACAATGCAACTTTCCTTGTATGTGTCTTTCTTTCTCTGTCTATAACTTTTGACAACTTAATGCTCAACAGCTACATAAAATTAAGAAATGATTCTTGCACTTTAATCATGATTATCTATAATAATGATCAATGTGACTTTCCCCTGCATGTTTGTAGTTGGGTACGCTGGGTATTAGCATGTAAGTTAATCAAACACAACTGGAATTTGAATTCCAAGCCACTATCCATTACTCTACCACTGTGCCTCCTTACATATACAGTTTGTGTAAAAAAAAAACAAACAATATACTTGTATATGGTAATCATACTGATAATATATAAATATGTATGGAGGCCAAATCACTTCAAAATTAAATAAGAGAGAAACAAAGATTCAACCATCCCATGGTATTTAATCTATTTACAAAAATTGCAACACTATATTGTCATTGAATACAAAGTATTGTTGTCCTTTCCTCTATTAAGCTTCTAGTGGAGCAAACAAAATGATCCGCTTGTTCTTGTAACTTGATGGAAAATCAGTCCTCATTCGATATGCAGCTAATTCAACAGGGATTACTTAAGTTCGTATTTTATTAATGAAACACTCGGCAGCGACCAGGCCTCAAAGAACCCCACAAAATGGTCCCAAGATAATATTAATCGGACAGACAAAACGGAAGCAAAGAAAATTGTATTTCAGACACATTCTATTTGTGATTGTTAACTGAATTAAGACAGATTTGCAAAGTTCTGTGCCTGTGATCATGGTACTCTTCCTATCATTTGTTGCTCTCAGCAATACTTGATTCTTGTCAAATAGGTCACCCACTGATTTACTCATCTTCTTTTGCCCTTGATCTCTCCTGTGAGTGTTAAATTCTCCAAACCTTATTTCCTTATTCTCTCTCTTGATGTCCCATGTACTTTCAGGATGTCAATTGTTATGTATCTCCACAGCTTTCTGTCCTTTGTTGCTCTCAGCAATATTTTCTCTTTTATTTTTTTTGTATATTACTGTTCACCCAATATAAAGCGCATTGTTAATAAAATCTTCCACTTTATCTCATCATCTTCACAAAAAATGTACAATTACACTTACCATGATATTATTGCTTTCTGAGTGTATTGTTAACTTACTAAACGTTTTGATCTTTAAAAAAAATAAATTAAATGACTTAGTGTGTTCTCATGAACCTGTTTTTTTTTCTTTATCCAGGTACATATCAGGGACAATGGCTAAGAGGCACCCGACATGGCTACGGTGTGAGGCAGAGTGTACCCTATGGCCTAGCCTCACACTACCGTCCCAAGGCCTTACGAGCTTCCTTAACGTCTTTGAGAAGCGAAAATGAGGATGAGCAAGTTGTAAAAAATCGGGATCGGAAACTCGATGAAAGCCGTGGCGGATTCGTTCTGAAAGCTCGAAGTGATGAGACTCCCACTCAGCCCCGACGTTCCATTTTTGACAAACAAGGGAAGTACAGCTTACGCAAGACACTCATGTCTGGCCTGAAGCTAAAAAAACAGAAAAGCACAGGAGACATAAACGATTCGCCGAAACGTCAAAGTGGATCCGTTCGCAGCACCATCAGCAACATTAGCCATGTAAGCGCCGATTCCACTCAGTCCGGAATGACCAACACGTCAGTGTACACAGATAGCAATTTAAGTTTTGTTAGTCAAGATGATATAACAGACATCAATGTTACGGAGAGTTATATGGGAGAGTGGAAAAATGATAAAAGATCCGGTTTTGGTATAAGTGAGCGATCAGACGGCCTCAAGTACGAAGGAGAGTGGTACAATAACAAGAAATATGGATACGGTGTGACGACATTTAAAGATGGCACGAGAGAAGAAGGGAAATATAAAAATAATATTTTGATATCTTCTGGAAAGAAAAATAAACTTTTTTTGATACGGACCTCTAAACTTCGTGAACGAGTTGATAATGCTGTCGTATCTGCACAAAGAGCAGCCCAAATAGCATTACAAAAAGCTGATATAGCAATTACAAGGTAAGGAAAAAAATAATGTATAACACTTTGTTTGGTTTTGTTTGTTCTTTTAAAAAGATGTGGTCCTATGAGAAATATAAGTTTATAGTTTATAAAAAATGCAGTTCCAGAAGGAATGTGATTTTATATTTATTGTACTTTTAAAAATGCATTTACAAATGGAATGTGACTTTATAGTATATTGTACTTTTAAAAAACATAGTTCCAGAACAAATGTGACTTTATAGTTTTTTTTTTTAAATATGTCTGAAATTCTGTGATGGGGAGTTATCATTATTTACAAGATTTAGATGCAGACTATTGTCCTCATCTTTGTTATTATTATCGCAGGACAATGGTCTAGTGGATTAAAACATTGGTTCATGAATTTGGTGACACAGTAATTGTGAGTTCAATTCCTGGGCCGGACAGTGTGTACTTGGACTCAGTGGAAATGGGGCATGTAATAACTGATTAGTAAATAAAAACAAGACAAGCTATCCTGAGATATGGTCAGTAAAATGAGAACAACCTACCCCTGTAGATTAAATAAAGGATTCATTTTGAAATTCCCTGAAGGTTACTCAGATCAACATGCACCTGATGAAGGCCAGAATGCACAACAGTTGAAACATTGTTAAAATAACATCATAGATGAGGACAATAGTTCAAGTCTAAATAATGCAAACAATTAATTTTACTTTTTTTAAAAAAATACAGTTCAGGATGAATGTGACTTATGGACAGTATGTTATAACCTGAGAGTATTTTTTTTTTAAATTAATTAAAGTTTCTACTACAGCCACTAAGACACATGGGGTTACTGAGTGTTAGAGAATATGAGAATATAAGAAAAACATAATTAAGCAGAGAGAACAATAAAAGAACAGAAATTAAGTTTTTGAAGATTGAAGTTGACTGGGAAGAAAAAAGCCAGAAGAGAGTTCCACAAGTAAGAAGTGTGAGCAAAGAAGCTGTTACGGTTTTCATCTAGCCATTTCAACAAAGACCCCGCTGCTAATCTAGTACTGGTCTTAAATTTGTAAAGTCGAGGTACCAGAGAGGAAAGTTCATCAGAACAATTACTATGAAAATATTTCTAGAAAGTTACAAGCAAATGACTGAAGCCAACATGCCAGGTCATGACCAATAACATTCTTTTTTGTATTTTATCAAGAATCTCTAAATGTAACAGGAGCAGCAGACCAGATGTGGCAGCAATATTCAAAGCATGGATGAATAGAAGACTTATAAATGTGTAAGATAGATTCTGGTGATAAAAGTTGTCTAATACAACACAGTGAACCAACTTTCCTATCAGCAGATCTAGCAATTGATTCAATATCTTTCCACTTCATATCAACAAAAAACACTAATCCGGAAAGGCAAAATGAATCAATATATATATTGATAAAAAATATACGTTTTTTCCTCATCAGAACCACAACTCTGAGTTTTATGCATAATGCAAATGTCTGGTGCTAACTGTTGCATAATAATAAATATGAAACAATATTAAAATAATATATATTTAAAATGTATATTTATTATTACTATAAATTAGAACTTTGTTATTTCACATCAACAACTATTTTATTAGTACCACCATTCAATGTGTGATATTATATGTATATATATATATATATATATATATATATATATATATATATATATATATATGTCAGCTGTCAATATACCTCATAACACCCTCGAGCGCTTAGCCATGGAGCAGATGGTGATCAACGTGTTTTAGTGGACTCAGCAGTTTTCAATCAGCTTGTCTGAATCGTCTTCAAGAAGCAAGAGCAAGAACTAAAAGGTCAGCCAATCTAACAGTGATCTCATCCCACAATCCTTACCCTTGCTCCATATGCAGCCTCCATTGTAAATCACTAGCAGGTCTTAAGTGCAACTTAAGATTATTGCACAAAATTTCATAACTGAATCAATTAAGTTGTCAGATTCTCATATGTTGAAACCAACGGGAGAGTCCATTATATCTATATATATATATATGATAGGATAAAGAACAAATAAGAAATGTTTATGAATTTAACATTTTGATTTTATTTTTGCTTCATCAGAAATGCTTCAGAAATGAATTATGGAATTACTGGGACTTTCTCTTTCATAATTCATTTCCAAAACATTTATTTTTTCCTCATCCTATCATTCTATCAGATTGTAATCCATATTTGATCCCAATTCATATATATATATATATATATATATATATATGGCTGATGCAAGTGTCTTGTGCCCTCCCCCCAATCTATGATATGGAGCACTCCACACTTTTCATAGGGTAGTATTCATATAAAATACAAATATTATTGTAACCTAATTATGTACAATAATGTATCTAAATACAAATTACAGATATGTCATAATAGAACATTCCTTCTTAAATAAATCAGCAAAATTTTGTGGCAATTTTAATGTCAACGTTTGCTTGTTTTTTATATATATATATATATATATATATATATATATATATATATATAGATAATATTAGTGGAAAATATACATACATATGCAAAATATATATAAAAATACCCATAGATGTATATTTTCAGAAAAAAAATTTTCCAAGAGGAAGAATCCAGGTAGAACTCAATGTCTAGGACAGAGTAAGGATATAATAAAAGGCTTAAACACTAATATTCCATGGTCATTATTATATATATATATATATATATATATATATATATATATATATAAAAAAAAAGTTTCAAATTGAAAATTATAATGTTTTATTTTATGAAAGTATTTATTTATTTATATATATATTTGATATTTCAAATTGTCCTCAATTTTTCATCAGAAATAACTGTTTGTTACAAATAAATTAAAATTACTGTTTGTTAGCAAGTAGCATCCTTCGCAAGACGCGGACGTCACGTGATATGGAACGTCACTGTTCGGATATTCCTAACTTAAATCTAACTGTCATAAATATTTTTAAAAAAAAAAATTTTTTTACTATATCTAAAAAAAAAAAAAAATTGCTTAACTATTGAAATATTTATAAAGATTTAAAACACCTAAGTCCCTATTCAACCCTAGTTTATGTGTATTTAATTTTAAAATCCAATATGTTTTTTTTTTGCGTGTGAATGTGGAAGTAAAATCGGAATCTATTAATAAACATTTGCAGTTTTCTAATGTGTGTCCTGATTGATTGTAGTGTTTAGCTATGGGGGAATAAGGGTTGTTTTGACGTATTGTTTGTTTATGGTTATTAAAACGAAATCTAAAATTGTTTCCAGACTCACCAATATATCCACTATTAGGACATAAGTTGCAGAATAAATAATAGATTACGTTATATATATATATATATATATATATATAAAACAATTCTTCTTTTATACAAGTTTCATTAAAAATAACTGACAAGGTACTGCAATTAAGTTTTTTTATTTAATTTTTCTTGTGTTCTTATAATTTTCTACTTTTCCAGACATAAATTATGTAGAAATTCTTCAAATGTACTGTATTTTCGAGTACTTTTAGCCATTTTATTTTTACTTTTAACTGAATGTATAGATTGTTTTATATATGTATCTAGAGTTATAGGAATGTTTTTATTTTCCAAATATGGTCAGCACATTGTGGTCGTATTCATATTTGATGTTCTTGAATATTGACTTTTTCTTTTTCAATATTAATGCTTCCATTATTTCTAGCCTTGTTTTTACATGTGGATGAGGCTATTATATTTGTATTGTCTACAAGTATGTTGTGGATGGAGTTTAGTAGGTCTCTGTGCATATTTAATTGTGACCTAATTGAGCTATGGTCAGAAAAATATAATGTGACTCTTCTTGTTAGGCATGTTGTAGTTTATCCAACATAATTATTTATGAATTTGATTTGATCAGGAACACAGTTCTTAAGGGACATGTGAATTAGTAAATTATTTTTTGTTTTACTTTTTAATGACACTCAATGGAAATGAACAAGCAATGACTGAATAATAGTAAATAAGAACTAGTCGAGATGACCCTAGACATGAGCAGTGGAGTAAAAACAGTCTACCTGTGTAGCTGAAATAAAGGGTACAGTTCAGAGTTCTTTGTAGGTTACCCAGATCAATATACACCTGAGGAAGGCCAGAGGTCACAACTGCTGAAATATTGTGAAGACAATAATCTGAATGTAAATAGTGTAAATAATGATAGCTTCTTATCCTTGAAATTCATTCCCTGTAATGAATTTCAAGGTAGGTTAATCAGCTCAATATACTCCTGATGAAGGCAGGAGGACATAATGCCCGAAAAGTTGTGATAACAACAACAAAGATAGGGACAACAGTCCAAATGTAAATAGTGTAAATAATGATAACTCCTCATCCCAGAAATTAATTCCCTGTGGGTTACCCAACTCGATATACACCTGATGGAGGGTGGAGGACATAATGGCCGAAACGTTGTGATAACAACAACAAAGATGGGGGTAATAGTCTGAGTATAAATAGTGTAAATAATGATAACTCCTCATCCCAGAAATTCAGACAAAAATGATGATGTCTTGTGTGTATGTTGATATTATTTTCCTCAAACATTTTATAGCTTTATCGCTTGTTGATCCTTGATTTCTAATTTTCATTTATCCTTTTCCAAAACAGTTCACCAATTATAGTCAAGTAGAATATAGATTTTGCTAATGACAATATCAACTATTTCCTTATAAGGAAACATTCAGCATCCATTGACCGAGCAGCCAGTGCTACTTGTGGGTGGAATTTATAAAATCTTTCTATTAAAGCAATTTTTCGGTAAAATAGGTTTCACAAGTCCATTATCATTGCTTTTTCCTATATTGATGGAAGTTTTCTTGCTAAAGTTTTGTTTGCAATAGTGTGGACTATCAATATCTTGATTATATCATTCTTTTAAATTCAAGTTCCATGCACTATCCATTTTAGTTGTTGCTGCTGTTGAAAGTTCTCAGGTGATATGTTTTCTGTTATTCAGTAGTGCCACTCCACAAGTTCGAAATACACTTGAGTTTATTAC